GCAGCACCATCAGCTGCTGCTGTAGCACCGTCAGCTGCTGCTGCTGCTGTAGTACCATCTGCTGCTGCTGTAGCATTGTCTGCTGCTGCTGTAGCACTGTCAGCTGCTGCTGGTGTAGCACTGTCAGCTGCTGCTGCTGTAGCAGTCAGCTGCTGGTGCTGCTGTAGCACTGTCAGCTGCTGCTGCTGCTGTACCACCGTCAGCTGCTGCTGCTGTAGCACCGTCTGCTGCTGCTGTAGTACCATCTGCTGCTGCTGTAGTACCATCTGCTGCTGCTGTAGTACCGTCTGCTGCTGCTGTAGCATCGTCTGCTGCTGCTGTAGCACTGTCAGCTGCTGCTGCTGTAGCACTGTCAGCTGCTGCTGCTGCTGCACTGTCAGCTGCTGCTGCAGTACTGTCAGCTGCTGCTGCAGCACTGTCAGCTGCTGCTGTAGCACCATCAGCTGCTGCTGCTGCTGTACCACCGTCAGCTGCTGCTACTGCTGTAGTACCGTCTGCTGCTGCTGTAGCATCGTCTGCTGCTGCTGTAGCACTGTCAGCTGCTGCTGCTGCACTGTCAGCTGCTGCTGCTGCACTGTCAGCTGCTGCTGCAGCACCATCAGCTGTGCTGTAGCACCGTCAGCTGCTGCTGCTTGCTGTAGTCCCGTCTGCTGCTGCTGTAGCTTTCGTTTGCTGCTGCTGTAGCCTGTCAGCTGCTATAGCACTGTCGCTGCTATAGCACTGTCAGCTGTCCCTGGGTGTGTAGCATTTGTAGTGCTGCTGCTGTTTTGTACCCACCGTTGTTGGTGTGGCTTATTGAGAATCCCCAAGGGGAAAAAATTTAAACCCCAGGGGGTTGGGCCACCCAGGAAAACCAAAAAAAAAGTTTTGTTTACCTGGAGTTTACCAGGAGAGAGTTCCGGGGGTCAACGCCCCCGGGCCAGGCCCGAAAACCAGGGCTTCAAAGGTGGATCATGGGTTTATAAAACCCGGCTGTTACTGTTTGGCCCCTTTCACAACCCCCAAAGTCGAACCAAAAGCCCAAATTTGGGCAGGTATCGACTTTAGGTGGGTTTTCCAGTGGGCCCGCTTTAAGACAGCCAGGGGGGGCTAATTTGGGAATCCCCCCCTTTTGGGATGCTGGGAGGCAGGCCGAACAGCCCCGGGGCCCCCCGAACTTATTGTGTTGTCTATATCGTGCTAGCGCCCCCCCTGTTTTTTATTGGGAGGGAAAGTTGCATTGTCTTGGCCCAAGGGCTTTTGCTTTTGTTGCGAGTGATTTTTCGTGTGGCCCGTTCGGTACTGTCCCTCTAGGTTTTCCAGGTGGGTGAAAACAGGGATCTCTCCCGCCCGCCCTTCCAGTGAGTACAGGTTCAGGAACTTCAGCGCTCCTAGTAACTGAGGTGTTTTTTTTCCCTTATGCGGGGGTGAAAGGGTTTTCTGTACATTTTCTAGGTCGCAAATTTTACCTGCCCTTTAAAAGGTGCTGTTAGGGGTGCAAGTAAATTCCAGCCCGATAGAAAAAGTGAACTGTGACCCGGAAGGTGTCATTTATGGGCTTGGATCCCCCAGTTTTTTAAGGTTTTCATTAAACCATCCCGTCCCCTTTTTCTAGCAGGAAAGCGATTGGTATTTATTTTTTATGGTCCTTGGGGGTGAGAAACCTCTGAATGGGTCACTCCCAGGTCTTTTTTTCATTATTTTTTTTCTTTTTTTGTGTGGTTGGAATTTGTTTTTTCACTCAAAATGGTTTTTTTTTCCTTTCCCTTTTCCGTTCGGGTAAGGGGAAAATTTTCCCATTTATTGAGCCTTCATGTTTTTTTGCGGCCCATTTAAAGATTTGATTTTATGCCCCCCTGGAGTCTTGCGGGGTCTTAGTGGGAAGGGGGAACCCCTGTCATGCAAATTCGGGGGGGGTTTTATCTTCGATGGAAAAACGGTGGGGGGTTTGGGTTACATTTCCCTGTTTAGGTCAGATATGGGTGATGAGGGAAAAAGATGGGGGCGAAGTACTGTCTTTGTGGAAAAAAGGGTTTTTCACCGTAGTCGCCTCAGACTTTACTCTGTTGACTACTAATCTTTGTGTTCTGTTTGTTAGGAAATTATAAATCCATCTACCAACTTTTCCTGTTATTCCTTTATCATGCATTTTGTGCGCTATTATGCCATGGTCACACTTGTCAAAGGCTTTGGCAAAGTCTTTGTATACTACATCTGTGTTTTGTTTGTCTTCTAGAGCATCCAGGACCTTGTCATAGTGGCACAGTAGTTGGGACAGACGGGAGCAACCTGCTCTAAACCCATGTTGCTCTGGGTTGTGTAACTGGTGGGTATCTAGATGGGTGGTGATCTTGCTTCTTAGAACTCTTTCAAAGATTTTTATGATTTGGGATGTAAGCACTGTCGGTTTATAGTTCTTTGCTATTGCTTTACTGCCCTCTTTGTGGAGTGGAGCTATGTCTGTTGTTTTTAGCAGCTGTGGAACGACCCATGTCCCTGCTTCCTCTCTATAAGATGTTCAAAGCACATGATAAGGGTTTCTTGCACTTCTTGATGAACACAGAGTTCCGTGAGTCTGGGTCTGGGACAGAGTGCATGGGCATGTGATTTATCACCTTTCTGAAGCCATTTGGCATCAGGATAATATCAGATAGGTTTGAATCTATCAAATTCTGTGTCTCGCTCATAAAAAATTAATTTACATCTATGGCTCTGGTTAGTGGCTCGCTAAGTACCTAGTCATATTGGGACTTGAGTACCTCACTCATTTCCTTGTTGTCATCTGTGTAGGACCCATCTTGTCTGAAAGTAGGGGCCCAATGTTGGATGTTGTTCTCAACTTAGATTTGTCATAAGAAAAGAAATATTTTGTGTTTCGTTCAGTTTAATTTATGGCTTTTAGTTCTTCCTGTGTTTCTTAACTCTTGTAAGATTCTTTGAGCTTAAGTTCTATATTTGCTTTTTCTCTGACCAGTGCCTCCCTTCGTATTACATATATACAGTGGAACCTCGGGTTACGAATTTAATCCATTCCGTGGACTTGTTCGTATACTAATTTGTTCATATGCTGGATCAATTTTCCTCATTTAACCCTTTGAGGGTCGATAGGTCCTCTCAGAGACTCGTTCTCAAGGTTGGCCAAATTTCAACAAAAAAGAAAATTATTTTTTCTTGTGAAAAAATAGTTTTTTTTTTCTAAATATTATAGGCTAAACAAAAAATTTTTACCATCAATACTTACCGAGATATGGAGGCGTGAAGTTGACGAAAAAGGGGGACAATGTGGCAACATCGCCGACTGCCGTCTCCCGGTATTCTTTTATTTACTGTTTTATGTACTATTTTCTATTATTTTTTAATTTTTCTTTTTCCAAGTAACTTTTATGGCCTGTGAGACCAATATGATCAGTATTTTGTAAGTTTTTTCTTTTTCAATACTACACAATAAGGGCGTAAACACTGTTGTCATTGTTTTGTTTATAGAAAATATTTACACAAACAAACGATATGAAATGTTGTTTATTATTATTTTTCTATATTTTATATACACATACAGTCACAGAGAATGTTTCTAGAAGTTCTGCAGCCTGTGGAAGTCTTTGAAACATGGTGTCATATTGTGGTTTGTTTCTTGTCCTCATCTTATACATATAAGCATTGAGCATGGAAATGTCTAGAAGATGGAAAAAGAGTTTTATGTACCACTTATAACTCTTTGTGAACACAATCAGCAAACCCAATCTGCATGTCACATTTGTCCACTGAACACATATTGAAGGTGTAATCGATCACAGCTGCAGGTTTTAGAATGGGTTCATTGCTCTCTCTATGCTGCCTGCCAGTGTCTGCCATTTCATTAGGGTGAACTGATGACAACAGTGTGACATCTCGTTTGTCATGCCACCAAAATGCCATGATGTCATTGGCAGCAAACGCCTGCACCTCACCTCTACGAGTGCCAGCGTCAAACCGATTTGCACACACTGTGCCACACACATCTGTCATGTTCACTCGCAAAAAATCACTGAGTGAGGGGCTTGTGTACCAGTTATCAGTATATAATATATGCCCCTTACCAAGGTATGGTTCTATCATTGTTCTGACCACATCACCAGAGATGCCCAATAACTTCCTGGTATTTTGCAATGTATAACTTCCAGTGTACACAATAATATCCAATACCAGACCACTGTAACAATCACAAAGCACAAACCACTTTATACCAAAGCGTTTCCTCTTGCTTGGTATGTACTGCTTGAAAGCGAGTCTTCCTTGGAACAGAATCATAGACTCGTCAATTACAAGCTTCCTGAAGGGATAAAAATACATATTGAACATCTCTTTCAGATACACAAACACATGCCTAATCTTATATAACCTGTCGTTTCTGTCAGGCCTGGTTTTGTCTGAGAAGTGAAGCATACGTAACATTAGCACAAATCGATTCACTGCATTATATCACTGAAACCTGGGGTTCCCAATCAGGCAGTCTGTTGACCAGTATGATTTCACTTTGTGCTTATACACATGTGGCATAAGCATTATTGTGGCAAAGAAAAGATACATCTCAGCCACAGTTGTCTCCTTCCACTGGTGTAGACGTGATTTTGGTGAAAGTATTGTGTTTGCCATGGTGTACTCGTAGTATGTGTTGCTTTCCATGACAATACTTTCGATCAGGAGTTCGTCAAAGAATAACTCGAAACATTCCAGTTCTGTGGCATTGTTCCCAAGTGTACGAGATGGCCGTATTCCACTTTGGCTGTCTTCAAACTGGTGGGGATTTGGAACAAAATTGACAGGTGGTTGTGGTTGTGGAGGCTGGTGTGGTGGGTGGGTGGGGGATGGCGGCTTTTGTTGTAGATCAGCTGAGGCAGCACCGTGGGTGGCAGCAGTGTGGGTGGCAGCATGGCCCACTGCTGGTGCCTCACGGCCAGCACCATTACTACCACCACTGCACATTTTCCATCCCAATTGCAACACTATCATCGTCATTTTCACTGTCTATTCCTGTTGTACAGGCACGGGATGTACTCCGAGATGTACTCCTTCCCCTTGGAATAGCATATGGCACACTACCAGAGCGTATATATTGTCGTATATACTGACGCTTCACTGGAGAATATTCCACTTCATTATCACTGCAGGTACTGGTTTCAAGAGCTTGTAGTTCATATTCACTATCACTATCATCACCAATGCTCACATCTGAGTCCGGGATTTGGGAAAATAGGAGTTTCCTCTTTGATTCTGGTACAACTGAATGTGAACAAGACGGCCCAGCATCAGAGGTGGTAGACTGAGGGTCGTCTGGGTTTTCCTCACTATTACCGATATTATGGTCATTAGTTTCGGTCACAACCTCACCAAAACCTTGAAACTCATCTTCACTGGCACTTCCATTTGTATTAGAACTGTCACTGGGGAACAAAAGTGTCCCAATTCGCCGACGAGTGAGGAGCTTCTTACCACGAGGCATGGTGAACAAGGTCTACTAAAATGGCATTCCCACAATGCGCCACTGGGTCCCAGATTTTTTTTTCTACTGCGCATACTGACCACACACACCCATTCTCTCACACCTAGGCCTACCAGCCTTTTCCCGCGAGATTTGAAGGCGCTAGAATTTATGCGTACTAGTACGTCAAAAACCCCTGCGCGTAAGCCGTACTAGTATGGCCGAAACCCCGAAAGGGTTAAGGGTTAAACTTCCGTACCTACTCTGCCTTTTTGCTTGATGCTTATAGTGGGCTGAAGAATAATCTCTTGCCAGTGTCCAGCAATAGTCTACCTGCAAGTATTCTTGTGCCCCATTTGCCCTGGTACCATTTTTCCATGGTTGAAATATCTTGGTGAAACCTTTCACAATGTTTGTCACTAACTGCCCCACAGTTTGCTGGAAGGAGTGCTAAAATTACTAAATAAATAAATAAATAAATAAATGTGAGTCCAAAAAGTGGATTTTAAGTGACATATTAACATCCCATGTTCTTGTAAGCCTTGATGAGGTTTTCCACCAATTCTTCATAATTGCCTTCCCTTCTTTTTCAGAGAAATCCCTTCATCACTAAGTTGAATGCTTCCTAACCAGCTTTCTCCTCCCCAAAAAGATCTGATTCAAAGTCACCATTTTTAACCCATTCAGGGTTTTGGCCGTACTAGTACGGCTTAGGCACCAGTGTCCGTGATGTACTAGTACGCCTAAATTCTAGCACCCTCAAATCTAGTGAGAGAAAGCTGGTAGGCCTACATATGAAAGAATGGGTCTATGTGGTCAGTGTGCACAGTATAAAAAAAAATCCTTCTGCACACAGTGCGTAATGAGAAAAAAAAACTTTGACCGTGTTTTTGGATTAAAACAGCGACTTTGCACTGTATTTTCGTATGGTATTTATTGGTATACAGTGGACCCCCGGTTAACGATTTTAATCCGTGCAAGAGGGCTCATCGTTATGCGAAATAATCGTTATGCGAATGAATTTTCCCCATAAGAAATAATGGAAATAAAATTAATCCGTGCAAGACGCCCAAAAGTATGAAAAAAATTTTTTTTTACCACATGAAATGTTAATTTTAATACACACAAACTGAAAAAGGCATGCACAATTAAATGACACTTACTTTTATTGAAGATCTGGTGATGATTGATGGGATGGGAGGAGGGGAGAGCATTATCTTCTTACTGTTTAGAAGGGGAATCCCCTTCATTAGGACTTGAGGTAGCAAGTCCTTTTCTGGGGTTACTTCCCTTCTTCTTTTAATGCCACTAGGACCAGCTTGAGAGTCACTGGACCTCTGTCGCACAACAAATCTGTCCATAGAGCTCTGTACCTCCCGTTCCTTCAGACTTTCCTAAAATGGGCCATAACATTGTCATTGAAATAGTCACCAGCACGGCTTGCAACAACTGTGTCAGGGTGATTTTCATCTATAAAGGTTTGCAGTTCAACCCACTGTGCACACATTTCCTTAATCTTTGAAGTAGGCACAATGGATTCCACAACTGGCATAGGCTTCTCAGGGTTAGCCCCAAACCCTTCAAAATCTTTCTTAATTTCCATACTAATTCTCACCCTTTTTACCACAGGGTTGGCCTAGAAGCTTTCTTGGGGCCATGGTCACTTTTTTTCCCAGAAACAGCACCGAAAACACTGTAATAATACGAAATATTCCGAGTGTATGCTTGGATGTTACCGCGGAGGCTGGCTGGTAAACAATGGGACGGCCGGCACATGTGAGGGCACATTGGACGCGTCTCGGACGAAAATCGGTAAGCGGGTTTTTAATCGGTATGCGCGGCAAAAATTTTGCGATAAAAGTAATCGGTATGCGGAAAAATCGCTATGTGATGCCATCGTTATGCGGGGGTCCACTGTATTCTAATTTTCCTGGTCTCATTTTATAGAATGGAAGACATATTACAGAAATTGAGATGATTTTGACTGGTTTTACAATGAAAAGTACCTTGAAATTGAGCTCAAAGTAGCAGAAATGTTCGATTTTTACCAAAGTTCAAAAGTAAACAAATCATGCTGTGAGTCCAATACACGTCAACTGGTGAGTCTAATATTCTTTCACAAGGGCGCTGATATTATTTATACCATTTCTACACTAATGCAGTAGTCTGCATAACAGTAAATCTTCTATTTTTTTTGTGAGAATAAAAATTCAAAGTGAAAAGCGAAAGAATGTAAGAGGGGCTTGGGGACATGACTAATGAACAGAGGAAATGTTATTTTAGTGCCAGGAATGTCTTTCTTGTTCATTCTGGACCCTATTCGGAAATTGGCATCTTTTGAAATTTGTGTGAGATTGGCAAAATTGCTAAATTCTGACCACTGTATTGGATAGTTGAAATCGGTAAATGGGTGGTTTCTTGTACTCATTCGATAGAAAAAATGGAGTTCTAGCGAAATAGTTATGATTTTTGTCGACTAGTACACTGGAATTGGCCGAAAATGGGGCTCTAAGTGGGCAAAATCGCCGATGTGTAAACATCGTCGAGACCACTAACTTCGCGAGAGCATAATTCCGTAAGTTTTCCATCAAATTTCATACTTTTGGTGTCATTATGATCGGGAAAAGATTCTCTATCTTTTCATAAGAAATAATGATAATATTTTTGAAATTTGGGGGACCCTGAGAACAAGTCTCGGAGAGGGCCTGTGGACCCTGAAAGGGTTAAGAAGCTCTCGAATCTGTGGACCATTGAAGACTCCCTTTCTTATCTTAGTGTCGCTCAGTGAGGGGAATTTTGAATCCTTGACTAGTTTCGGCCATAGCTTTTACAAAGTTTTTCATCAGTCCCTGTTTTATGTTTAGTGGTGGTAGCAAAATTTTGTTTAGTTCAATGAGAGGTGGATGTTGAACATTTTTCATCCCAGGCTCCAATGATTGACGAGGTGGCCAGTCTCTCCTGATGTAGTGGAAACCTCTTGCACGGCTGTCCCTTTCACATATAAAGCAGCAGTACAGTACTTGGTGTATCCGCCCTGCAAGCCCATCACAAGTGCAACAACCTTTAAGTCACCACAGAGCTGCCATTGATATTCATCATATTTCATGCATTGCAACATATGCTGTATATACACAAATAACCCGCACATAAAAGAGAGAAGCTTACGACGACGTTTCGGTCCGACTTGGACCATTGACAAAGTCACAGTGTGACTTTGTCAATGGTCCAAGTCGGACCGAAACGTCGTCGTAAGCTTCTCTCTTTTATGTGCGGGTTATTTGTGTATCGTTCCAGTCACGGTATTGTGCCTTTTTGTTATATAGCTGTATTTTTTTATAAGTTTCTTTCATATGTGGTGCATAGCCCCCTTTGGGGTTTTGG